AGCATCCTGTGATCAGCCTGTCACTTAAGAATTTATGTCAAGATATCAGGGTGGGTTGAGATCTATGCCCTTGGGAAAAAACCACCTGTACAGTGAGCTGTTCACTGTCTTTAGTGTGTCACAGTGAATTTCAAGTGGTTACCAGTGATCAAGAGTGGCTTTTCTAGAACTTGGTGGTAACATAGCCTATAGAGATAGCCCTGAACACTAAACCCAGAAGAGGAGGATAAAGAAAAGGAGGCAGGGGATAGAACTGGACCCTGGAGGTTCCCAAGTGCAGGTTCGCAGCCCACTGTATGTTAGTAGTGGATACTGACAGGCATATTCCTGAGGACCAGGTAAGGAGAGTGGTCAGAATGCAGAAAGCCAGAGAAGCATTCAGAAAGATGTCTCCACATACTGAACGTAGTAGCTCACACCTGTAATGCCAGCTACTTGGGAAGCTGAGGAGAAGCGATTGCTTGAGGCCAGGAGTTTGAGACCAGACTGGGCAACCTAGTGAGAACTCCATTGCTAAAAATATGGAAAAAAAAAAAAAAAAGTTAGCTTGGTGTGGTGGCATGCACCTGTAGTCCCAGCTTTGGGAGGCTGATGCCGGAGGATCTCTTGAGCCTGGGAGTTGAAGGCTGCAGTGAGCTGTGATTGTATCACTGTACTCCATCCTGGGTGACAGAGTGAGATTCTGTGGGGAGAAAGAAAAGAAGGAAGGGAAGGGAAAAAAATAAAAACGAAGGAGGAAAAGAAGAGAAAGAAAAGACAGAAGGAAGGAAAAGAGGAAAAAACAAGAAATGAGACAAAGAGTCTACACATAATGCAGTAGGGCAGGCAAAACAGCGAGTGACCTCAGTGCCCACACTGGCAGAAGCGAGGTAAGAAACCAGATGAATATTGTAAGCCAGTGGGTCTCGAAGTGTGGCATTAGACCAGCATCAGCTGGGAGCTTGTTAGAAATGTGGACTTTCAGGGCCCTGTAGTCTGCATTTTAACAAGCCCCAAGTACAGGTGGAAGATTGAGAATGGCTAGTCAAAGCAACAGAAACCAGCTTTTGCAAAAGAGATGCTTAAGCAATGCCCTCATTCAAGGAGCTTCTTAATATCTTTCCTTTTTTTTTTTTTTTTTTTTTTTGCTGATACAGAAATCAATCCCTGAATGTGATGTCTACTTGGTCTTCAGGTTTAAATGTGTTTTTTTAAATAATAAAAGTAATTCTTTTACATTTCTAGGTAATGAGTAGTAACTACGTGCAAAGCTGAATGCTCAGCACATGGTTAGCAGACTTAATCCTCTTAACCCTGTGAGGTAGCAACCATTATAATCCCCATATAGATAAGGATACTGACACATAGACTTTGTGAGGCAAGGTCACACAGTTAGTTTGTGGTAGGTCCAGGATTTGTATTAGGATGTTTAACTGCAAGACACTGGTCTGGAACTTCCTAGAATGTACAAGGGAGGTGATGAAAGATGGATAGATGGGAGGGAGGAAGAGGGGAAGAAAGGAGGAGGGGGAAAGAAAGAAGAAAGGAGAAAAAGAGGAAAAGAAGAAAGGATAGCAGGAGATTCTGGAATTAAAGAGTGAGTGAAGGCTCCTTCTAAGGGTGGTCTGTATCCTTGTGCTATGTTATTTTCCTGGTTTTGCTTTTAAGTCAGCCCATCTAGAGATTTCAATAGATTTCAGCCCAGGCCCACCTGCCTGGCTTTCTCCTAAGAATTTGGTTTCATGGGTAGTTTGTGATTTATTTTTTCCTTGTTTGTTCTTTCACTTTCTCTCTCCATGCTCACATAATCTTTGTGACTTAAATACACACTTGGCCCAGTTGCTGAGAGATCCGTGACTGTCTTTATCATTGACTGGTGAATATTCTGGCAAAAGCATGTCACTCTTTGGGAACTGTGCTCAGGGGCTGCTTTGAAGCTCCCCTCTGCTTCATTCACCTTGGACCACGTTGTACCCTGCCTCAGCTTTAATAGGGTATCATTTTCCCCCTCCTTGTACTGCAAAACCACAGGGACACTTAATCTTATGTTCTCTGGAGGCCTTTTGGAGCCTTGGAGCCCGATCGCAGTAATCAAGAAGGGGTGGGTGATCAGGGATGAGGTTTGACCCACTGTCTGCCTCTATTTAAGCTCTTCATTTTCACATTCCTCGCCATGGTTTGCAATAAAAGTGGAACACAGCTCAAGGGCAGAAGTGAGGTTTAACTTCACCCAAGGTACAATAGAGGCTATTTGGAAAGTAAAACTTTCAAATGGCAGTTTAGCCTTAAAGAATATATTGAATTAGATATGCTCTGAGCCTTGATTCACGATCATTGCATAATAGCATTGCTATGTATATTACCTGGGTGCTTTAGTAGACTAGGGAAATGGGCTATTTAAAAGATTAAATTC